AAAAAAAAAAAAAAAAAAAACCCTGCAAGTTATTGGAAGAAAGGCCAGGAAGGAATACTCTACAGAGGCATCAGACCTCTATCCCAGATAAGCTCCGAGCATTTGGAAATAAGAACTGTTATGTGAGAGAATCTAGTAGAATGCATGATGCAATACGAAAAAAAGACTATTGCCTCTTAATTAAAACTGCAGTCTGCTACACACAGCATTCAAATGTGTAATCAAAAACCAGTCACCAATAAAACTTACAAGCGTAACACAGTGAAGCAACTTTCCAGCTGTCTTAATAGGACCCCTGCGTGTAGCAGGCTTTCCCAGGGCAGAAAGCAAATCTTCCCCCTTTGTGTACGGCTTCTGTTTCTTCAGAGGTGCACCATGCATGTCCAATAACAGGGTAAACTCAGGACAACTGGGCAGTGGAGGGGGCACCGCACACAAAACTCCACGAACAGACGCTCAGGGAAGTCTGCCTGACGTCTCCTTTTCCCCTTCCTCCTTATCTAAGCAAAAGTTAAAAGATACATTTTAGTCAATCTGAAAATCATGCTAATTCCCCAGAAACGCAGGGAATGTGGATCGCCATCAGAAAAGAGGAAAGGCAACGCCAGCACTTCTCACTGTCATACCTTGTCAGAATGACCTCTCTGAAAACCTGAGTGATGACAATTCTGCCCTTCCAATTAGCTTTTGATAGAGCACATGCTTCAAAGCAGGCAAAGAATTTTCTGTTTTCTTAGGATTTCCCTGCCCTTTAGTTAGGTTCAGATGAGGACTTTGCAGTATGGGGCCTCATGTGTTCTAGAGCTGTGCTGCCTAGTGGCTAATTCTACATTTTAATTAATTAAACTGAAAAGGTAAAAGTCCTGCTCCTAGGCCTCGCTTGCTGCCTTCCCAGCACCCGAAGCCACACGTGGCCCGGGTGAGGGTACTGGGTCGTGGAGAGCACGCCGGGCAGTGCTCTGCCAGACCTCCTCTTAGAGCTTGCTCTGTGCAACTTCAGACAAGGAAAATGAGCTTGAAGATTGCAAAAGTGGCCTCTCTGATGATTTATGATCTTATACAGAGATGGGCGGTGTGAGCCTGAGCCAGCTTTGCGACTGTGTGCTGAACTCCTGGTGACTCGCCTTAATGAACAGGCTGCCAAACTTCCTCGGCGAGAGGCGCCTGCTCAGACCCAATTCTAGAGGGACCCACTAATGCCGTTCGTGTCTCATTATGAACAGGCTTATTCTGCACAGCACTTGGCTGTCGCCACTGCTCGGCCCTCCGTGCATGGCCCCAGCAAGCCGCTGGTCCAGGGAACAGCAGGACGTTAGGCCTGAGTGGCCGTCTGGCGAACAGGCACTCTGACACTAAGCTGGCACGTGCTGGCCCAGCAGGGGCTGAGCGGAGCGTGACAAATTACTCAAAGAGCTGAGCTAAACTTATGGCTGACAACCACCTGAGCCTTCGGACCGCCATGGCCCGCTGTCAACGCTCAATTCATGGCTCCCCTTTCAGGCCACAGTCTGCTTGTGGGCCTGGGTTAGAGCAGGCACATCCCTCTAAAGACCTGTCATGCTCTGCCTAGTATCACCCTGCTGTTTCCTGAAAGGCCCCATTGCGGCCAACACATCCACATACAGTGCTCGGGACAATGGTGAACAAAGCAGAAATGTGTGTGCATGTTGCTAAATACTCTATGGAAGACCCGTATCTGGAAAGCAGCTTGCTACGTTCATCAAGCTCACAGTCACGGTCACAAAGGGAAGCTATGCACAACACCCATCAAGTGACCCCAGGCAGGAGCCTATCCTTCTCATCCTGAAGACGCCACTCGATTGCTCTAAGTTTGCTCTTGTCAATGCTGAGAGATCTGGGCTCCTAAGAGCAAGTCTAGCACTACACTTATAGGGAGTAATAATCAAATTTTGAGATTCTCTGATTCAATGAATATTTATGGTTTGACTCCTAAGTTAAGGCATAATGGGAGACAGGGGAAACAAAAGGTCCTTCCAGAACTGCACGCAAGAGAAGTGTTCACCTCATGGCAGGTTCCAGTCTCGCGTTCTCCCGTCACACACAGCACACACCCTCCCCTCCCGCTCGCTGCAGTGTTGACAGTGCTAAGCTGGTGTTGCCATGAATGGGGTGAGACCAGATCCTCAAAGGCATGTGAACACCGTGACAAGAGAAACAAACATCACCCCAACTCCGGCAGCATTTAGAAATAGTCAAGAATCTCACAGGTGCCAAAACCCATTTCTTTTAGTGCCCTTAACAAATATAGCCCTGGAATGTTAACAGAATTTATTAGCAGAAGGACTAGTCAAGGCAACCTGGAGCACTGTCATCTGATGTTCTCTGACCTAATAGCCTCAGGGCTGCAATGCTGGCTATTTTCTATAACACAGGCACATATAATTTAGACATCAAAATGCTTGTAAGGTTCTTCTCACGTGTAAGACATCTTAAAATGTGAACTGAGTGACGAAATAATGCCCCTGAGTGGATGGTCAGAGATCTGTGACTGAAAGAGGCAGCTGGTCACAAATCCAATACTCGTGTCAGTATTAGCCACTGACCTTTTGTTCTCTGAAGTCCACTAACAGATGTGAAACTTTTACTTCTTTACTGAATTACTATCTCACTACAAGCCATATACACAGGAAGTGCTTTTCTAATCAGCAATTTTTCTGCTTGGTTACTCAAGGCAGAGAACATTCGAATTACTAACCAGGAACCCATCTTAGTTTCTGGGTATTTCTGAGTTTCTTTAGTGACTCACTCTGTCTACATTTTCACGTAAGAAGTTTTAGTAATTCTTAAGCCAGGTTCAGTGGCACATGCCTACAGTTCCAGCTACTTGGGAGGTTAAGGCAGGAGGATTGCTTGAGCCCAGGACTTTGAGTCCAGACTGGGTGACAGTGAGTCCTGACTCAAAAAATATTAATATTTCTCAATTTGACTAGAAAGACTATATATCTTTACTGGTTACATTTTATCACAAACCACCAAGACAACTTTCTGAGACCCTCTGCTGAATCTGCTTGGGTGTCAAGACCCTGAGAATCCACCCCTGTCCCAACTTTATTCTGATTATTATTTAATGTTTAGAAATGACAGCAACAACATGACAGTCAGAGGAGCTTGCATTTTGGCAGAAGAAAGCCTGGCTCTTTCCTCTCCCAGCTGAGGGACTCAAGGGACTGGAACCTTCAGCTTCAAATTGTCTCGTGTGTAGAGGAGGGCCGCTGACATCTGCTCTGAGGACTGGCAGGAGGATTAAATGGAATCCTAGGCAGGAAGATCTACCCAGGCTCCAAAGCAGAAGCACAGCACAGTCTGTCTGGATCACCAGCTCCCTCCTACTGTGGGCTTACGCGTTCCATTCCAGAAAGAATGTGGTGGAAAGTCAGAGGTGACCCCTGCCTTTGGCTGTGGTGGGCAAACCTCTGTGGTAGAACCTCTTGAGCTGGGAAGGCCTATGGTCCCCACTCACTGACCAGGAAGTGGAAGCTCAAAGAGTTGGAGAGATGTTCTGGCATCCCAGTGACTTACGCGTGGAACTGAGACTGTAACCCAGGTCTTCTACCTTTACTGCTTTCCGCTAATATCCTGACTTCTAGAACATACAGCATTAAGTTCCTGTGAGGCTGGGAGCTAAACCGCACCTGTGACAGCCAACTGTGTTCGACTGTGTAGGCTACAAACAGCACGTGGCAGCCTAAACTTGGGGACATATGCTGAAGCCGTTGTCTGTACCCACAGACCATGCTGATTTCATAAAATAAAGAAAAACAAAAACTATGCCATTTTAATTTCTTTTTGCTTGTTCAAGTTATGTGTTTGCTGACTGCCCTTTAGTGCTTTCAACCTCATACAAAAACTCCATCTTTCGTCAAAGGAAAAAGAGAACTGTTTGGAACAGTGTATATTGCAGATTGCATTTTTTGCAGCTCTTGAAATCCTTGTTGCTGGAACCTTCTGTAAATTTCCCATGAGTGGCCATGACACACAAGGCGGCC